CCAGAGCTTGTTTACAATTTTTCAAAACCTGACATAATGTATACAGATCATCTTCCTAAAAGGCGAGATAGATGCTGTTATCTGAGAACGATGACCGATTTGCACCTCTCCTATTACACCCTCTCTTCTTTCCCAGTTTATTTACATTCCTAACCGCATACACGTAATTACACTTATCACACTACAGAAGTGAATTGGACATTTACACAGTGATGTATTCCCATTCAAAGGGCAATAAGTCTGTTGTAGATCAGGAACAGTTCTCCTGTTTGCAGTCAGACATATCTACTGCAACGCTGGATTTTAGTTCTCTCTCCAGTCTGCCTTAGAAAGTAACTTCATTTGAGGTCTTATGTGGGTGCACTCTTTTTCTGCCTTAGACTCAACTGCTGTCTTAGCTTCTCTTTTCTTTGACAAAGTAAAACTTGTCTTATGAGTGAATAACTACTCTCAGTTATGATTTTTCCTAGACTGTATAAATAAGGAAACATGATTCTTACACTGAGCTTTCATGTAGCATTTTGCTAATCAAAATAAAACTCTGTGATTTGCTAAGGCAGTCCAGTAAGTATTAAGTTAAGAGAGCTGGTGATAGCTCCCAAAGATTTACTATCCATTCAAAACAGAGTTAAAATGATATTTGTACTGAATATCTTTTACTGAATATCTTTTGGAAAAAAATCAAAACTGTCCTGCTTCTTTTGTTTTCTATGAGATTTAAATCTTAGTTGAACAATTATGTGGAAGACAGCACTGTAATTACTGTATTTTTTTTTTATTTTAATTACAAAAAAGCATAAGATTTTAGTAGTAATGTTAGAAGAAAATATCTAGCTTAACACATCCCAGCAGAACAAACCTGTCTGTGTAGGCAGTCATGCACCTAGCAGTTCTTGAGGCCATAGAGGCTTCTGTGTCTTTAAGCAAGCTTTTCAGATTGCATCAGATCCAATGAAGTCCCAATTACAGTTTTGTTTTTCAAGTTCATGTCATAGTTTTAGCCTCAAATCTATTTTCAAGAAAACTCTGACTTCAGAACTCATGTCTCAAACTTGGGAATGCAGAAACAGAGGGCAGGATTTCAACTCTTGAGTTCTGTGCTGTAAACTACGAATGTGAAAATGTGAAATGTAACACTTCTGAACCCAGCCTTTACATCCTGATCATTGCTATTTTCATTTTTTTTCCCCTGCTCATTTTACAAGGAAATAAAATAAAAGCCATATTAAAGAAACTTTACAATCAAAGTCATGAAATACCAAGCTCTAATCCCTACAGCAAACACGACTAAACTATTACAGATAATAAATTAAAGTTAATTCCATCCAGTGATTTACAAAGCACTGTTTCTACTGACAAAACAGTTGTGCCGTAACTGTCAGAGCATTAGATTGAAGTTCATATATTTTGGTGTATTTATAATTTTGCCTTCTGAGCACTACTGGTAATACCTCTGGACCTAATAACATGAAGGGAGTTACAAAAAGAATGTCTAACTGGTTGCAGCTGTGACCTTGTATACCTGAGTTATCAGAAGCTCCTAACACAAGAAGCAAGTGGGAAACACAGCAACACTAAAACTCTCCAATTGTTAACAGATCAAGCCCTAAAATCCTACCTAACATACTAAAGATGCGTGCTCACTAGTTGTCATCCTTCTTGGCTGAAAACTGGCCCCAAGACAAGTGAAGGAGGTAACCAGAAGACACTGAAAAGTATGGCAGACTCCAGAGGGGTCAAATCAGGCTGTGACCCTCAGATACACTTCTGGTCAGATCAAGTATGCAGCTCCATGCAGCAGATTGGTTTTTTCAGCAAAGAGGAACTGGAATGCTTTTGCAAACCCTCTTCAGAGTTCACAGGCAGAGCCATGTGCTGTGTACTGGGCTGCTTAGCAACTGGCGTTTCTGTGCACTGGTCAGGATCAGGTCAGCAAGGCCAGAGATTAAACTCATGGTGACTTTCCACTGCTTTGGCACTGGACAGGAATCTGTAAACTCTCTACGGTAATCAAAGCCAGCTTCTAAGAATGATTCTGTCCTTGAATTAACCAACGTAAACTAAAGATTAGATCCAGCCTTCTGATAGCAAGGGAAGCTAACTAAAAAGCTTTTTTGCTTATCTATGGCTAAGCAAACCCTTTCCTGGATCTAAAAAGTTGCAGATTTTTTCCTTCTAAGAACTACTCACGCAATGGACTCTGCAGGAAAAAAGAAAAAAAACTGGAAAAAGGAATAAAATTCAAATCAGAATCCAGTTAAACATTCCTATAGAAATAAAGACTAAAGCTCTGAATAAGCTCAAATGTGTAAGAGAAACTTCATGTAATTGTACGCATGTAATGAGCAGATTACATTCATGGTAATTAAATAAGTTCAAGCTCAGCAGTGCACAGGAAATTACAGAAAGGTTTATTTTTAGATACTCAATAGTAAAAATTTGTGGAGCACAAATCAAATCTGCAGCGCATAAGAGACACTCCTGCATTGACCCACATAACTTTCCTCACTGAGCCTCAGACAGACCACCTCCTGGCACTGATGGCTGCATGGGATTTTCTCTCTCTCCAGATGCCTTATTTTACCTTACATTCTACCAGCCAGAAAAAAAAAATCAGGAGTGGACAACTGCAGCAGGGAGTGCTGCTTTGTTGGGAGGGGGTGGGGAGGAGGGAAAAGTTGCTCATTTTTTATACCACGCAGTCTCCTACCAGCAATTGCGCCTGAGGGGAAGCTCATTAGTTGCTATAGCACCTACTCTAATTGAGATACAGGAGACATCTCAGGTATCACCAAACACAGTTACTAATAGCTGTTAGAAGAGAGGTGAGATGAGCAGGGCCTCCCTCTTCTGTTGCAGACCGCTGAGCCTGAAGGAGTCTCCCAGACTCCAAAATAATCTCTATGGGGAAGGAGGACCAATCATACCAGAAGAGCTGCCACTCTGCAACAGACTAGAGAGGAGTACAAGAGTAAGGAATACAGAAGAAGGCAGGCTAAGATAACCAAACCCTCCCTGGGACACTCCTGGACCATTGGGAGGAGAGCTCCCACAGCCTTTGTAAAGAAGGATTCCTCTCATATCTAACCAGTCCAGCTGCAATATAAAGCTAAAGCAGTGCTCTCTACCAAAAGGGGAAGTTGCTGCCCAGTCACAGTGACTCTTCCCTTCCTTAAGATTCACTCCCTGTCAGAAGTCAGGCTTCTGAAAAGATTAACAAGACTGTCACAGAATCATTATCTCTAAAAAGTGCAGGACGTGTGGCTATGGAAATAGTCAAAGTAATGGCAGAAAGAACAGATAGAAACAACTAAATTTAGTAAGACAAAAGCATAGCCAGCCCGAGTTCCATCACTCTTGATAATCATTTTAAATTGATAAAAAGTTTTATTAGCTTAGAAAATGCAGTGTTGCTTCCTTCATTCTGTTGAAAGAACTTTTCAAAGCAGTATGGATGGAGAACATGCACACGAGGTACACTATTTTGCAAATTTTGCTTGAAAGCAGTGGTCTACCTTTCCTGTTCCCTATGGTGTGAGATAGGACTATAGTAGTGGAACCTAAGCTTCACTTCTGACCAGTCCTTTCAGCTCTCACACTATAAAGCAGAGTATAAACTCGTATTTTCTGCTTTTACACATACACACACACACACACACACACACACACACACACACACACAGAGGAGAGTACGGCCAGGGCCAGAATTTGATGTCTGGAAATTCAGAAAAATCCAGAGAAGTTCAAGAAAAATGAAAATAATGAACAAGGCACTACGAAATCTACAGAAGTGGAGATGATTAAAATTAGGGACAACTTTCGCTCACTAAGAGTTTGAGCCCCCATATATGACACAAATTGCATCTTAAGTATGAGAGAGCACACTTCAAGCCACCCACTTTGCAATTTTGAAAAATTAAGGACGTTAATAATCCTACCACAATAAAGTCTGCCTTTTGCAAATGTTTAAATAGTTAAGTTCACAGTTTTAGCTGCTGCCTATATTTTCTTAAGAGGAACATCTTTCTGTCTGTGCTGCAAGGCAGATGTATCAGGAACAGATAACTTCAAAGGCCTCCAAGAGATATCAGGCATTTTTATCAACGCTGAGTGCAAGACTCTTCATTATAAAAGTTTTTTGGTTTTTTTTTTGGTTTTTTTTTTTTGTTTTTTTTTCTCCATGTCCTCCAGATATTCTATTGGAGATATGAAAGGTCTGGAAATTGCCACAGCCATTTCTGCTGTCTTTATTTTAGCTGTCCATAGAGAAATAACTACTGTGCTGCATCTTACCAAGAAAAATCTAAACATGCTCACGTGACAACATTCATTTTGCACTCAAATACTGTTGAAATGCCAGAACTGAAATATTTTACTGCACTTACTGCTCTTACACATGCTCCTGTATCTAAGTGCATGACACAAAAGTGAGATTATTTCAGCACGGTAACAATTGGGCATTAAACTTTTCTGAGGCTCATGTAGTAAATTTGCAAGATATGCTCCAGAACAGAAAGAACCACGGAGTCCTACAAATATTTGCTACTTCCCATCCCCACAGTGCAAGATTCACATCTGAAAAAAAATTCCCTTTGTGAGAAGTTTTAATGTAATATGTTACTGTGTAAATGGAAGACGCTGTAATATAACCAGGTGTCCTGCTTTCATGAGGAAGCTAACCTCCACTAGAGTGGTAGACAGATAGGAATATGGTTAAGTTATCACAGCTTAAATGAGATTCATTGACTCATTTATTTTTTTTCCCTCCAATCTCTCAGTGTTTATTCTGAAATTAACAAGTATCTACACAGCACACAACCCATGATAGTAAACTGGAGAAATACTAAAGGCGTATGAAAAAGGCTTTGCATACACTTTCAAGTACAATGAAATACTCCACGTTCCTGCAGTTTCACGCTGTCACAAAAAGTGGCACAGGAATGATCATGAGATAAAACAAAGTGTAATTTGTTTTCACCTCCACTATTTATATTGCTTACCTTCATTAACTGCATGAGGCTTAATAATGCAACAAGTAGAGTTTGTGAATTTTGCACTGTTGGCTGGTCCATGACCTCCACTGGAGGGAAAGAACAACTCCAGCTCCTGAAAACAATTGCAATTGAATTCACTTTAGTTTTATCTAGTTGCATGCATGAGCTTTCATCATAAGTAACAACATCCAAAGTACTCAGTCACAGAAAATTATTGATTTTTGCATTACAAATGTAGGTTATTGTTGGGGAGAAGTATATCTTTCACTCCCTGGCAACATTATGATTGCTACAATCATAAAAACATCATTTGAATGTTTCTTGTAGGTTTTTTTTTTTCCCCTTTCTGCTTCCACAATACAATCTATTTCCACTCAGAACATTCAAAGTGCTGCTACTGCTGCCACAATCATTTGGCAGATGAAGCATTCCCAGATTTCTAAATTCTCTTTCCTCAGAATTTTTTGCAGATCTACTCCCATATACAGATTTTAGCTTCCCTCTTTTCATGACACATTTTCCTCCACTTAAGCAATAACACTATGAGCACCCAATTTTTCCTTATACAAAACCAAACTCCATCCTACCTGCTTACAACTATTTTTTTTCCTTTTGTATTAAAAAAAAATCTTCACCTAAAATTGTTGGCTCCACTCTCATGACTTACAGACTCTTGTACCCCTTCTCCCCCCCCCCCCCCCAGCCTTAGTGAATGGAAGATGAACTCAATTACTCTGATTTCTGAGAAGAATCAAAAGAACCTCTTTGTTTCCCATTACTTCCTCTCCTCCTGCCATCATTATTCAGTCTTAGACTACAGCAAGCTTGACACCCAAGCTTCTTTCCTCAGCGATTTTTAGTATTTTTTTTTTTAACTGTTCACTGCCAGCTTCATGCTTTTTCCATACCATTTATTCACATAGCTTACACAATCTGCCAATAAATATTAGTCAAATGCTTGAAACACAGATTCCATTTAAGACCTATTGGTCAAGTTAAGTAAGAGAATTGATGAATTTCTATTTAAGGGAAATAATAATATCCTCGAGATACTACTACCAAATCCATCTAATTTTTTTTGTGTGTAACACTAAGAGCGCCGAAGGCCATTTCCTGGAAATGTCTCATTTAATTTACTAGCTCAATTCAGATAGAATAAACTTAACTATTTCTCAATCTTCTCCTCATGTTACTATGGCAATTCCTGTAATCCTGACTTGAACAATTACACAGTTTTCACTGATGGATCTTTCAACAGGAAGGAAGGTGAAGTGTTTTTATTTTCTGGTTTTTTTTTGTTTTTGTTTTTGTTTTTTTTTTCTTGTTTTTTTTCCTCCTAGCAAACAATGCCCATTTTGAGTGCCCATAACATCCTTATTTTGGTGACATGCTGCAACCCTCAAAGACCTTGTGCCATTCTGTTAACTAATGTTCATTCTAAAAGCAGCAGCGAGAAGGAGACAACAAAATACTTCAAATATTTACCACTTTCTTTGGTCCATTAAATGCCAGAAGAGAAAAGTATCTAAATAATGCTGAAGAGTAGGATAATGAAATGACAAACAAAATCCAAGTGATGCCTTAAAAAAGCAATTTTTTTATTCATACCTAATATGAAAAAAAAATTGTCCTACAGAAAGAAAAATAATCTCAAAGTACACCAGGGGCCTACTTTCATTTGTCATTGCACTGTTCTACTCTAACTGCTCAGTGTATAGTACATCCATTAGATGTAGTTGGGACTTTGGTTTTCTTTCAAGAAAAATTTCATTTAGGTCCCTCTATTTTCTATTTCTTTTCAGGAAAGCTTCTGCAAACTGCAACCAACTAGTTTCCATGGCAGCTGCTATACAAGCAGATAGTTCTGCACCTACAATGTTAAAATACGTAGAGGCCTATTAAATTCACAAGTTGAGTTGTTTTATCAGAAAGTGGTATCAGCAACACCACAAGGATGCCTACATCTGCAAAAGTTCAGCAATACAATAATTTTAGTCAAAAATACTACACATGAGCAGGGCCTTCAAACTGTTGAAATGTAAAGAGAACTACAAACTTAAGCCAAAGCACATAATTAAATTTCCAATCAGAATCTTATGCTAATACAGTCTCCTACACTCTCAGGTAAAAACCTGGCACAGCAGGTCACTGCAGCACATAGAAACAAAGAGAAACTTTTCCCATTGTTCATGAAGACATCAGTCTACTTAACCAGAATTACAAAGACTTGTTTAAGATTCTCCTTCATAAGAATTCAACTTCATCCAACCTCTTTCTGGATATGTATCATTTCCACCAGACTTGCCACCACAAGAAGTATTTCACATCCAAAACATGACTTGTCAAAACCAAAAGGTGTGCAGAGAGGCCCCACAGGCCATGCACCATGCAGACACCTGAGCATAGTGCTTCAAGCAATGCCCAGGACTCACAGTGAGTTTCCCATGCCCTGCAAACCCACAGCAGCTGCAGCTACGCTCACCACTAGCACATCATTGCTACACATTTTCTAGTACATAAACTGCCAACTACCATGAGGCATCCCTCAAAAGAGGGAATCTTTTTCAAGTTTGTGCTACTGCAGCTGTTTCAGGGTAAAAAAGAAGAAAGACCAGGATCCCAGAAGCAACAATTATCTTTTCCCTGCTAGTTTAGAGCTAAGATAACAGTGCAGTACTGAAAAACTGTTCAGTAAACTTTACTCTAGCCATTGCTTATCAGCAGATCTACCCAACATCAGCGTTCACAAACACCTCTGTTCTATGGAAATGCTGGTAATATTTAATCACCCAGTCCTAGGGCTTTTTCTTAATACTTTAAGAAAATACAGACTACAAGGAGAAGGGGAACTCTTAGAAGCCAGGCCCACTGTATTACCTTCCAGAACACAAAGCAATACAAAATGGTCTGTCTTCATAAATATTTGATATGCACAATGGGAGCAGGGTTTTATAGGACTAGGCACGTTGTCCGGATCAAAATGTCCAAGACTTCCATTTATGGCAAATATAAACAAGATTCCTGTTTCCAGACAGTTTATTCTTCCATGCTAAAAAAGAGAACACCTATTCATTCAGAACTCAAATGGGAAAAAAGAGAAATGAGAAATTCCTGACCACTTGCATTATCAAATTAAATTAATAAGAAAACTAGTTAAGAAACAAAGTCAAAAACTTACTCGAGCAGCTGAGGCAACTGAATCTGGGCCATGAGCTGCATTTCTTATGCCATCATGTCCAAAGTTTGCTCTAATGCTGTCTGGTTCATCAGTACGAGCCACTGCAGAATTTGCAGGCCCCAGTAATGTTTTCCATTTACAAACTGCATCATCCCGTAAGATTTCCATAGCAACAACAGGACCACTTGTTATAAACTGGAGAAGCTCACTGCAAAATGGAAACAACATATGGTGATCTGGGCTGTAAATTAAAGCCAACGAAAATATGTGACCCAGTAGAGAGGTTCAGAACTCAACTCAGCAAAGCCCTGAGCAACCTAACTTTGTAGCTCTGCTTTGAGGAAGATTTTTCTTCTCATTGTTTTGAAATGATTTATAATTATTTGTTTCTAAACTTGAGAAAATTCCTATATAGAAGATGTAGTGAATAAGACTGTAGTAGGGAAGACCAAGCAAATAAGGACAAAAGCTTAAGGTTCCTCAGATAACTATCATTAGTGTAGATAGACATCTGTGAAATAACACCACAGGCAAAACTCTTGCTTTTTATCAACATACTCAAACAATTACTTAGCAAAAAAAAAAAAAATAAAGTTCTAGATCATCTGATCTCCATCATGGTCAGATATAGCCTGTACTCAGTCTCACTGAAGGGCTTGAGTTTGGACCCACAGTAAATTAGTTGCTGTTGCAGAACAATAAATGTCAAGCTCAAAGTGATGTACCTACTTATAAAAAGGTTTTGATTGATGGTCTACGTAGAAATCAACTGCTTCTTTTCTGGAAAAGTAAAAAGATGCAGCTTTATATAGATATATACAACGTGTATATATGAGTACACATATATACACACACTCACACATATAACTCTGAGAACCACAAACTATCATTCATCAACATTTTTCTATTGATAACGCCTTCCCGAGTTGGAAAATTTATGGGGCATTCATACCCTGTAAAAGAAACTACACAGATTGCTCCAGAAGTAATGCCTCCTATTTATTTCCATGGAAACTAAAATAGATACAAAGAGTACAATAACATTATTTGATACAGAAAAATCTCAGCTGCAAACAGTATTTTTCAACAGTTACTTCCATTAGCTGTGCATTTTCACCAACAATGAACCAGAGCCTGCATGGTACTCTTATCAAAACTCGTGCCAGCAGAGGTGACCTACTATTGCTGTCAGTGTTGAAATGCACCACCCACTGTCAAACAGTGAATGTGGGCACTGTGAGATCTCCAGAAATGTTCAGCAAGCAACAGTGAATGTTAATGGGCATCATGCTTTCCGCATGGAAAAATTCAATGACACACCTTTGCTTCATCTGTGTTCTCATGTCAGGTGCCACTTTATCAGACTGCCCCTCCGCTGCCACCTGTCACACAGCAACGTGTAAGGAATACTGGCGTGAAGGTTCAGTCTCCACCATAGTAAAACAGGAGGCATTACTTTTGGAGCAGCACTCTTACATTTAACTTTGTCATATTTAGCATGGTTAGAGGTGTAACTGACTCCTGTTCACAATCCTGATCTGGGAAGGAAGTCATCACTAAAACTAAGATTTTTAAAGTCACTGATGAGCTCCACATTCTTAGCTTGGGAAACAAACACAGCAGAAACGCCCTCCTGACAAGCTATTCACTGTTACATTGCTTTGATCTTTCAGTTCAATTTGAGTGTATACGTCGGGTAATGAAATCTGGTTTTAAAGCATAAACAAACAATTCATCCACTTCAGTGAAATCTATTTCCTTATTGGGGCTAGTGTTTGATGACAGTGAACAACAGCATATTGCATGATCTGGTTTCTACTCAGTATCCAGAAATGTTACAATTCCAATAGGTAGCACAACCCCTCCAGATTAGAACATGCTTTCTCATATGCTTTTCCCTTTTATAACTGAGTTTGGTCACGCACTTCCCTCAGGGAAAAATCCAGTCACTACACACTGTCTGCTCCCATAGCGAGGGATTTCCACGAGGAGAGCTCAGTACTTTTTCAGGTAAAAAAAGGCAAGCAAGCACACAAAGTGTACCTGTACTGCAGCTGTTATATAGTCTCAGTACCCGAGTACAAAGATAGCACATCAGATGCTGCAGGCTAAATGCCAGAATATTCATCACTAACACAGCATGACAGCCCTCCCCAAGCTCTGCACTCCCACAGCCATGCCTCTAGTAGCCCTGTGCTCAGTTTCAGGGTCCATAGTGCAGACCCTCCTTCCATTCACCTGTGAAACATCACTCTTTGGCTTTTCACCTTGCCACTTCCTGAGCTAGACAGCCCACCCTCCTCCCTCCTTCTTCTTGAATGGCTCCTCATGCAAACTCTTGCTACCTTCACTGCTTTTTCTGCATGACAACAGCTAGAAGAATCCATGAGAGTTTTCAAGTTTAGCCGTTATTTTGCAACTGCAGCTTCAAAACGCCAGTTCAGAAGTGCAGGTTTGGACTTATCCCACCGTGTACCATGTTCTGAAGCTGGAATTTGCTGAGATGGATAAACTCTTGAAGCAGACTAGCAGCTGAAAGCAAGCAGTAATGCTGATCCCCCAGTCTGTGTACAAAGCTCATAATCAAAGCAGAGATGCATAGAAACTGAAAGATCCCCATCTGAAAAATTATTTCTGAAGGTAAAAAATGTCTCCTGAAATTTTCTGGTCTCCACAGTTTCACTCACTTCAAGCAGCTCCCTTTACTGAAAGACACCACCTGAATATATTTCAAGTAACATGCTGCAAGTCAGAACCAAGTCATAGTAACTGTCATCTGCAATGCAACTTCTCACATCTTTCTTCATTTGCAGTCCAGACTTAGGCCTGATATTGCCAGAGGCAAAAAATAACCTCAAGAAGTACCTAAAGATAATTTAATTTCCCTGACAAAGATTTTAACAATCACAAATTTCTTCTTTGAGGAATCAGAACAGCTATCTGCCCATTGGAACCAAACAGTTCCTGGTTGGTTGCTTCAAAACCAATGCTAGTCACAGGAATACTTGCACTCTCAAGCTCCAAGTTTTTGCTTACAATTCACTATTTCATCAGAACATCCCTTGCCGAAATTAATTCACCAAATAATTTTGGAAAGCAAATGGGGAAAAAGTACACAAACAGATTCCATACTGTCATTTCTGAATATGAAGAAATATTTCTGGAATATTTTTTCTGTATCAAGTTGAACTCTACTATTCAATTAAGAATTCCTATTGCAAGAAATATAGAACTATGGTTGTGCTGTATAACTTAGCTCCTTTTTCCATTTCATCTCTTGTTACTGTTCTGCTTTTAAAGAAAGGAAAACAGCGTTCACCAGGAAATAACAGACTCAACTCACATGCGATTAACTTCTGTGTCTAGATAGCTGACCTATCAAAGCAGGTATCTGTCCTCACTTTTGTATCTTGGCTATAGCTTTTTTTTTTAAAAAAAAAACAAAAAAAAACAGAGGCATAAACCAAGTTAACAGGGATTGCCAGATGAATGTCAGTAATATTTTCTTCACTGAAAGCAACAGATGACGATGCTTGCTTGAGTAAGTATGCCAGATCTAGTACAAAATTTTGGCAAAGCCACTGTTCCAGCATTTTAAAATGGCAATAGCAAGAAACAGTGTATATGTTATGCAGAGAAACTACAAATACTCGTACATCATTTAACTAGATTTAGTACTGAGGCTCAATTTCACACTTAATAATCATTTTCAATTTTACAAGACAAGCAGGGAGTTTTATATAGGCAGTAGGCAATAAAAGTTTAATTCCCAGTTTCCATTTCCTTCAGATCACACAACTTGGCTCAATAGTTCTCCAAGTTCACTGACACTGAAATAAAGAACCACTCAACACTTGAGAATCAAATATCTCAGACTGCAGGAAAGCAAGCCAAAAAAAAAAAACAAAAAACCACTGGCTTGAAAAACACTGAATTGTAAGCCAGCATTGCAAACCTGACTGAACTCACAAAGTGGAGTTGTTTGAGAGAGCATCTGGGACCAGTCTCATCAAACACTGTAGTAAGTGAACACAGACATAAGAGGAGGTGCTCACTTTTTTTTTAATTAGTATTTCAGAAAGCCAAAAAGAACTTCAAGGTAGGATAAAATTGTTCTTGACCTCACAGAGAAATCCCAAGGAACCATGAAAATTGTACTATTTAATACTTAATAGCTTTTCTTGTCAAAAAGATGTTGCATATCAAAAGGCTTGGCAATGCAGCAACTGAGAAATACCATAATAATCTTGGAAAACTCTTGTAGGGTAAATTAATCATCTTTATGGGAAAGCATTTTGCAGAGGAAACCATAATCTTGTGGTTGAATGAGACAGGTGGAGAGCAGCAAAGGGTGCAGGGGGAGCATTCAGGGAGATGCACCTGTTCAACCCTGCAACGTGATCAAAAGATCACCTGCTGTGCCTGGGTTGCCTAGTTATTAAAAAGCAAACATGTTCAGGCTTCGGGAGCACAAATTAAGACAATGAATTTACAGAGAGTGAAGAAACCAAGTACTTTTAAGACAACTCTGTTATAATCTGTAATATGGCTTATATCAGGAAGTTACAAGGTGAGCACATGCAGAGAAGTCATTGGTGAATGTTACTGAATTGCTGAAGTAATGCTAGTCACCTTGGATTCACACAAATTGTTGAATCACCCATACTCATTTGCACAAAGCTTTGTAATACTTTATTTTCTGTATGTATTTAAAAACCTACACATTGTTATGAAACAGATGAGCCTTCCCTTTATTACTCACTGGAATGGATTTAATGTGTAGAACAACATGGGATAAACTTCAGAAAATGGTCTGAACTGCAGAAATAGTACATACAATAGAGCCAACCTTATAATTTCTTACCTTGAAAGCACCATCATTTTGGCCTTAGTTATTGTAAATCCTGCATTAATAATGATATCTACTAGTTCTCCAATCTTTGGTGTCGCATCAGGTTTAATCAAAGCCAACGTTCTGAAAGAAAAGGGAGAGAGATACAGCCAACATTACTTTTCTTAAAGAATTTAGTGTGCATGTTGAGTTTATGCTCAGATGGAAAAGCACCACAGAAAGACATTCTGCCACAGTCAAGCATTCTAGTCCCACTGTCTCACCAATTCCTACGCTATTCTTCAATGCCTGTGCAAGGCATTATTCCAATGAGAATAAGCTTTGCTTATTACAGTTTCCTCAGCTTTCTAAAGCCAAGTCAGCCCATAGCGTTCCATCAGTTGCCATTTACCAGCTTCTTCCCTCACTCTGAGCAAATAATCTGATCACTTCTTGAAGTGGTGCATACCTCTACCCACAGTAACGGCTACCTTTCCTAACCCAAACCTCACAGCAACTGTTCACAGCCTGCTCCTGAAGTTTGGTTCTTCTCTTTCACACATGAAATTCCTTGTATTCTCAACACTTGCCTGTTTCCTGATATTCTCAAACTGATATTCTTCCCACAGAATCCATCCAATTTAAAACCTACACTTTTTAAGCAGTTTGTCCACGAGATTTTATTCAGTGATTTCAGTTTTAAATATTCGAGAACGATAACCTCATAGTCACACAATTGTGCCTTTAGCAAGACAGAAAAGAACACTTTCCTAGAGCACAAAAGCTATGAGGAATATTCAGTCACAAGGAATTATGAGATACGTATTAAATTTTTTGAAGTACATCTCTCTCATGCTGCAAAGGTAGATAGTTTCTCTATGCTCCTCACTCCCTGCTTTGAGTTAGAACATCACTCATTTGTTTCCTTCTCCCTCCCTACGCTCTTTCCTTAAGTAATCATTATATACATAAAAAAATCAAGCTGATCAACTTCTGTATTTAAAAATATTACTTAAAAACATGCATCTCCTACAAAAATCAAAATGAAATGATTATTGTATTATTATTTTAAAAGTTTAGGAGGCCCCAGTTTTCCTTCATACAGTACAAACACTTCACAGTATATGAGTTGTGTGCCACGGTAGCTGACGCTGATAATGGACACAATAAAATGTTGGGAGATAAGGTATTAGTTACTGACTGACATCTGTATTCTAAGAGAGACCAAAAAAAAAAGTCTCAATGCTCTCCCCCACATTTTTGTTTTCAAGTACATCCTATCTTTTCAACAATTATCTTTTCATACTGTACATCCCCCAAGGCCAGGACAGTTTTATTAGCGTGCTTTGCATCAGACCAAGTACACCAAGCACTAAATATATTATTAATCAAAAGTAACAAGCAAAAAGGAAGGTCTGTAAAATGGCATTTTCTATTTGCATTCATCTTGTGGTGAGTCAGCTTCAAATGTGCTCAGCTTACAAATCAACAGATGATTTATTCAACCCTGTATCTCTGAAACTGTGACAATCCTGAAGAGCTCTTTCACTCTTTCCATCTTTTTACACTGTTTCTAATAACAAAGGCTTCTCAAGATAGATTTTTTTTAAAGCAGCACCTCCATAAATGACAGGTAAATAATGGCAAACTTCTCTTTTTATTTAGCAGCATAAAAATGAAAAGCAACCCATAGGTTTGCAGCAGTATATTCCAGTGAGAGCAAATATGCTGAGGTTACAGGAGATGGATGAATTTCTACTACCTTTATTACCTTACCTTAGGCAACCAGAGATTACCAGATGCTTTGGAAATGAACAGGCTATCTATTTTACAGCAAACGTTAAGGAAGAGAGGTGTCAGAGCGGAAAACAAAGAGGGAAATTTGAATGCATGCAATATCGCATGTGAAATTAAGAGAGAGACATAGATGACCTTCACGGCTCAGATACCAACGCAGATTTCCACAAGCATCAGAAGGCTTACATACACAGATCAGCGGGGAAACATAACACAGGAAGTCTTGTTGACTAAAGGTAGAGGCAAGCAATTATAAGAAATTGCATTTGAATAGTCAGCTGAGCCTATGCTTCAGTACATCGCAGTCCAAACCAAAAATGATTTAACCCTGTCTTCAGGCCAGAGAAGGCTGACCTCAGGGAAGCGTGCTAGCATAATCCACGTGGCCATAGCCTGACAACATTTCCCAAGGATTTAATAGCTCCAATTTATTTTGTGGTATTATTTATCATATGACAGAATGTGCCATGTGCATCAAGGCACATGAAGGTGAGCAGTTGTGTGCTAGGCCAATGACAAGCATACCTTCACACAATGCACAATGTACACCCTGGATCAAGAAGCTCTCAACTTTCTCATTTACCGTGATCACCAAGGATCAAATCATTGAATAAAATCGCCAGTGAAGTTGACGTTTCCCTGCGGAATTATTTTTTTTTAATCTATGCTATTACACAGGCTGTTCAGCACAAAGTGCTAACACTAGAAATAAACAATCCCTTACACTTCTAATTTCAAGCTTTCCAGTAAAACTCTAATTCCCAGCAAAGTGCAATGAAACATTGCTTTAAGTTGTAATTCACCTAGAAGACACTAATTGTGACTCACCTAGAAGACACTAATTGTGACATTGAGGCCCTGGAGCGTGTCCAGAGAAGGGCAACGAAACTGGTGAGGGGTCTGGAGCACAAGTCTTATGAGGAGCGGCTGAAGGAGCTGGGATTGTTCAGTCTGGAGAAGAGGAGGCTCAGGGGAGACCTCATTGCACTCTACAACTTCCTGAAGGGAGGCTGTGGTGCAAAAGGGTCTGGCCTCTTCTCCCAGGCAAATAGTAGGACCCGAGGAAATGGCAAGAAGTTATACCAGAGGAGGTTTAGGTTGGATATTAGGAGAAACTTTTTCTCTCAGAGGGTGGTCAGGCACTGGAATGGCTGCCCAGGGAGGTGGTGGAGTCGCCATCCCTGGCAGTGTTCAAGAGGCGCCTGGATGAGGAGCTACGAGAGATGGTTTAGTTCTTGTGGTACTGATAGGAATGGGAGGGTGGTTGGACTAGATGATCTTGCAGGTCGTTTCCAACCTTGTGATTCTGTGTGATTCTGTGTGAAACCGCAATGAGCAAATCTAACAAAACCTTTTCGCTAACATCAGTGTATAAAGTGTGTAACATCTCAGTATGAGCTTTTCAGAAGCAAGCAGGGCAAGAAAAAGTGTAATTCAAGATGCAGAAGCCTGTTCCTGAGATTCGATCAAAAATGTCTTATTTTTAGCTTTAATTAGCAATATATTTTTGTAGTCTTACATGATGCAGTCTGCAAAGTACTTTTTGAAACAATTTTAGGTCTAGGAACAAAGAATGAAAACTCATCCTGATTGCTTACATTTTCAGAAGGATTGTTTGACAGTACTCCAACAAGTGCTAAAAAAAAAAAAAAAAAAAAAAACAACCAGGAGATGGGAGCTGATCAAAGAAATGGTGCACAACTCATGTTGTAGCTATGCTTGTGAGACCTACTTATTAAAAATAAGCTACAGTACGTGCAAAAGTCCTATGTCATGTAGGGGAAGAGATACTGATTATGTCAACGACACAGCCAATTTGAAGAGATTGAGTATTTCTGCTTGAGACACAAGTTTTCTCATACCATTTTCAAAATCATGGATATTAACTGACTTTGAGTACAGACAACTTAGAAAGTACACACTGCTCAGACAAGTGTTTACTTCAGGTTACAACTGTCCAGGATCAGAAGTGGAGGACTATACAACAGAAGTCACTTTCTTAAAGCAGTGTTTCTTTACACAGCATGCTCTAAGTAAATACGTGCTTACCTACCTGTCTTATTTCCTTACACTGGCCTCTTACCATGTGTTTCACACCTCATGTAATTAGAGTGACATTTGCTGGCTCTCCTGACAAGAACAAAGGCCCCTAATTCAAAACATTCACTTTTTTCTTCTTATGTACATTGCTTACTTTCCCTCACAGGTCTTTTCTGAGCTTTGTCTGCATGCATATTCAGAAGCCAGAGAATGTACCTCCAAAGCTGAGATAAACAACAGATTATCCTGTACAGTATAAAGGCAAGGAAAGACAGGAATATTTTTCCGCTCATACAACATCCGCAAAATTATTAGCAACATTCCAACTAGAAATTATTTTCAGGAATTAAGTGCTGCAGAAATCTTACTAATAATAATGTTTAACTAATAACTGCTTTAAATGCTGTGAGGACCAGGCCAAAAAGACAAACAGTCCACATGCAGCCATTTTGCACAAGGATTCCTTTACTATGACCCTGTTTACCCAGTGAAAGCCAGCTTCTGTGAAGGAACTGGATTTTGAGGATACCTTGCCTGTTTAAGACACCTTTCACTATGTTCCCCAAGGCCATTCTGAATATGTAACATCACTTGCATATTTATGTTATCTTTCAGCTGACATTCCTAAAATGTTTTCCAGATAGCTTACGTCATAAATTCTCTCCTTCCTTTTGTAGAGCACCCCCTCTCCAAGGACCACCTCACTGACAAATCTGTGGTGTTGCTGGCTATACAGTGTTGCTGTACAAACATACAGCTACACTTATGAGAAAAACGTTGCACTTTATCACAAGCCACCTTTTCTTATTATAAATCCATCAGTACCAGGGCTTATGCAAGTTTAGGCAGAGCATGAAACATGCAGCAATAAAAAAATTACACCGAGATAAAACCCATAAACAAGACAGATGTAATCTACTCAACACTCCAATGAGAAACACAGAGCAGTGTCATACACAGAAGTCCTTCTCTGCTATTCTCCACCCTCTTTGCTACTCTTCCACCATTGCTACTCTTCCACCATTTGCAACTCCAGACTGAAGAAAAAGCACCAGAAATCATCCTTCTGGAAGCTTCTTATGAAAACTTATTATGGCAGTCATTTCCAAGGCAATGTTTTTGTGAGGTTAGGACAAAGATACATGCCAAAACTTGCAGCTGTTCCAAAGTGTCCAGTTATGCTTCTTCAAAAAGAGTTCAAACTAACGCCAGACAGTGGAAGGGAGCAATAAAACTGAACAGGGCTCACTGCAACACCATGCCTATGAAAATACTCTATGAACTTCTTTAAAAAAAAAAAAAAAAAAAAAACAACAAAAACCTGGAGCAAATGATCCAAATTCACTAATTCCTGAATTCAGAAATTACATGCAGTGCAGGCAAATCAGATTTAAATTTCTCTTAAAGTAACCTTATTGTCATTCTAAGTTTCTCCTACTACTTTTGTTCTTGGATGGGTTTTTACCTATCTACCTTAACATACAACCACATAGGTTTTATTGACATTCCCACTCCACACTTCTCATCCTCATGCATGCATAGTTTATGAAATGCTGAAAGCATTCTCAAATGAAAAACCTCCACAGTGAGAAAAGCAGTAGAGGATAGGAATGGCCACTCTCACTCCAGTCCCTACTGTTCTGTTACTACTGATAATACAGGGTAGACATGTTTGGTAAGGTACTAGTTTTCTGCACTGATTGCAGAGAGGCAGTTTGCAAGATTGTGGCCCAGTATCCATTAAGGTTACTACATCAATACTGCCCTGAGAGAATCCACAAATCACAAGAATGCTACTCCTACCAGCCCTGCAAGGAGTAACAAAGCTGAGTTGGAGCTCATGCTTTCCTCCTCTACCTCTCCTCTTCAGAGAGATCTGGAGAATGCAGCATCAGACACCGTGGATAAACTGGCCTTGAAGATGTATCAGGTGGGAGGGATAATGGTGGGTTTGCCTACAAGCAGGGAACTTCTTCCCTCCAGCTGTCAGTATGCCAGATGACTGCAAACCTCATGCAGACTTGTGACTAATTCCTCCTTTTCCCACAGTACAGAAATCTTATTTTCAGCAAAGAACAATTACCCCAGTCATAAAGGAGGATTTCAAAAGAACAGGTTTTCTTACCTTTCTTTGCGGCTCCCTAGTTTGCGTGCTGTATATTGATCTCCATAGTCCACTAAGGAAAGATGACGAGAAAACACAGTAATTTTGTTGCCCACAAACAGATCCTCAAGGTGTAAGCTCTCATACTTGGTGCGCTTTAAAAAGGTACGATGGTTCTTCACATCATACTGCAGACAAAAGAAGAATAGAACCATAGAACCTTCTACAGCAAGAGATCTAAGCTGTTGGCAAACTCAACATAATTCTTACTTTTCCTTCAGAAATTTCCATAGCTCTGTGGGATTGAATCTGATCATTAAATTGATTTTATTCTTAACCCTTTGAACTTGCACATGCACCAGGAATGCTTAGAAGATAAACGGAACAAATGTGTAGCTTTAAGTGGTCTCAGGGGGATGGCTGCCTTCGCAGTTTTTATTCTATTACTTGCTTGTGCTAATTCCAACTATGGTAAATGGTTCACGTTCCTAGTGGCTAACTCTGCTCAGTCTCAATCAGAATTCCCCCTAGCTGGTCTGTGCTGTTTCACAGGCCAATGGCTTGAAGCAGTAGCAACCATAATACATGCTGTGGCAGGTCTTGTCTTCAGGGGACTGTTCCAGTGATATTATGATTTATTTGGCTGTATATAACTGAATGAGGGATGGTTGGATGGCTGCAGCACTACGTTCAGAAGTTCTCACTGCCTAGAGCTGCAAGCTGAAATGCCTGTCAAGACGATTCAGCTACATATCAACATTCTGAGCAAGAAGGAAGACATTAATGCGCAGTTTCCTGGGTGGACTGCTAAAGCACAAAATACAACCTCATGAACAGTTTCTTCTCTACTACACATAAATATTACAGATCCCTTCAGTCTCTTAGAGAAACAGAATCTCAGGAAAGGAAAAGTTTTGTCCTCTTCAGGCCAAACTTTTTTTTTTTTTATACCTCCTTCTATAAGCAGGATTCCGTAATAAAAACATCCTTAGCCCTCACCTGTACGCTCTCAGTGTTCTTCATTTTCAAGAAGAGTCCTATTAATTGAATCAAGCATTAAAATTCTTAATATCTCAACTAAAAGCTTGATCACACCTTCACTGAAGCACAAACAGTTCCTAGAAAGGCACACCCCCTTCTGCTTCTCTCTTCTCAAGCAGAAGATGAAGAGGGAAGAAAAAAGCAGCATCTATCTGTATTAACAAATCCTTTAGAGTGGAATTTTGTATCTGCCTAAAATATCTTTATAATACAAATGAAAAGTCACAGCAGAAGAAATGTAAGATGTCTCTGATTTTTTGTTTTCTCTCTTCCTTCTCTTATGTATATGTAACAGGTAAATTGTCCACAATAATTCTCTCTAGGAATGTGTCCTTTTCAAAGATCTCTTCTTTATTTTAGGAAATCTCCTCTAGAAAGAGAAGTTTGGATTTAAAAATTCTGCAAGAGAGTTAACTGTGGAAAACTTGGATAGTTGGGGATGTCTCTCTTAACGTACTCAGTCTGATCAGAAACAGTTGCTTGCTGTCCTTGGACAAAAACCTGTGCTGCTTTCTAATGTCTGCAAAGCAAGCTGGAAACTTGTCATGTTATTTCCACTGTATTTTTCCTTCACGGGAAGGAGCAAAATATGAAGGAGTAAAAAACAAATGGAAACCTGAGAGCCTCATAACATAAGCATTGAACAGCTCTATTCCACCCTCAGCTAGAGTATTACAAAGGAAAGCTACCATTGCAGAGATGGGAAGGGTGATTGACAGCTCTCTCATAAGCAGAGAGAAGCTGACTCGTGTCCATTACCTCTCTTCTCCAAGAATGCATTAGAGGCAAAGCGAGCAGCTGCCATCTCCTTGGGAAGATACAAAAGATCCAGAAGAATTTTGCAGTAACCAAAAAAGAATCACCAGACTCCAGATAAGTTTCAGAAACCATAAATAAATCCAGAAAATCATCTTAAATGTAATTTCTGTCTGCAAATTCACCCCCAAACTGAACTTGCGGAATCGCTTCAGCAGAGATACTGTAGGCATTTTTGCTTTTTTAGCAGTTACATTGATCTCACAAAGTCCATGCAAACTCATGACTGCATACACACAATACTGCCTCAACCCTGAGAACACACTGGCAAAATGTAGGAGCGTACCAAGTCACAGGTGTTAGATGCATAAAGCCCAAGAACACCTTGAAAGCTATGGTTTTGAGATATCTAGGAGAAATGAACAACAATTTTGTCAGCCTCCACATGGTTGTGTAGGAAGATTATTACAGCTCCTGACTGATTAGCTCTGATGTCTCACGGAAAAAAAAACCCTCACGTTTTGACAACTGTGCACACACATATCATACAAATAACTAAGTTAAAAGGGACAACATCACAGTAGAGTTTATTTCAAGAGATTATCAGTAAAAAGTGCACAGTGCATCTCCTCACAGGTGGGTACCATGGTTTCAGTAAATAACAGTTTGGATAAGAAAAAGGTGGATTCGGATAGTTCTGTTATTTCTGTGTTTGATATTTAAGGCAAGAAAAAATTTAAAAATATATTGAAATTAATACATGTGAATATTCAAATTTAGGCTATTCTCAGACCTTTCGATCCTCATTAAAATCTAGCAAACTCTAGTCAACAATCACTAATTCATTCCTAAACGGAAGCACAAAGCACTGGCTATTTTACTGGATTATCAGTACAGGATTATCTGCACTATATTTCTTGCTTTAACCTACTATCAATTAAAAATGAGGATTAGGTAAATGTGGCACAAGTCAGAAAAGTCTATGCAAGAACCAATAATGGAAAAATTTGGATTCCACTCGCAGAAACATCCTTCCCTGCTGTAAAACCAAATTAGTTCACTGTTTCCTCCACTTTGATAGAAGCTGTTTACAGCTAACGCTTCAGAGACTTGTAGAATTCTAACTGAAAATTGTTCTTGTTAAGGATCACCTTCAATTTGTGCTTCTCATGCAGTAGGTTGATGCTGCTGTGTTCCAAACTTAAATCCAATAAAAGATTAAATGAAAACAGATCTGTGAAAATGAAACTCTCCAAGCTTAAGACAAAAATCATTAATATGGAACCTCTTGTACATGCTCCACTGTGAACTACCACGCTTATCTCTATTTCTCAAACTAGAAGAAAAGCATGTCTTCAGCTACAACCTAATTACCTGGAAAAATAATTGGCAGTGGTTTTCCATTTTATAAGCAGTTTAATTATTATATTTAAAATTACTGTTTTTTATTCTTACCATTTCAACTGATCCATCTTTTGGATAATACAGAAGCTCATAACGCCGAAAGAGTGAAGCATTTGGGTCATACCATTCAGCAGTGAAAGCATACCTGTCATCTTGACTCTGCAAAAACAAAAGGGAGGGCTACTGAAGTAATCATACGTGTAATAAATAAGATGTACAGTTTTGTTGCATTTGTTATCAGAAAAGCAAAAATTGTTATTGGATGCATTTGTACACCCTGCATATTATCATTTGATAAATACAGCTGGTGACATCTTTTCACTTGTTACACATCACCTTTTAAGTGATGATAAAAACAATATGGCAGTTTTCCAGGAAATATCAAAACTTATTCTGATTCCACCAGCCATGAAATCTGGACTTTTGTAGTAGTTCTTATGAGACTTAACTTTGTTACATTGAGTCAGGGATTAGACTTACTTTCATTTGTTGAAAAAGTGTGCTTGTTCCCAATTAAAATACTGAATTTTGTCATGTTTCCCCACACAGATTACAGGAAAATCACTTTCTTCCTGAGCTGTGATATCTGAACTTCTGTTAATGTTGAGAAAAACAGAACTAAGGACAGTAAAGTGATTCAGGAGTTAACCTCCTGAAATGTATATAAAGCATAAACAACCTGAATGCATTTACAACTTATTTCCTGCTCCTAAGAAGCATGCTTTTAAAGGCAGACTGCAATAATTCTAGATCTGTAGCTACCCGCTTCGTTCCCCCTCACACACCCTCGAGGGAAGCAAGCATAAAGGCAATGCAATCCATGTGGATGTGCAGCTCTAGCACCTCTTAGTGGCATATGTTAGCTATTCTGCAATGTCAGCTACTTGATAGCTGTTAGGTGGAGTTGCAGCCAACTAGGCCTTTTTGTCATCATATTTTAGAGAACAACAACATTTTAATTGCTTCAAAAGACTTCCCACTAAGAAATGGGACAAAGACTTCATGTGGGCTTCCATGACTATGGAAGTAGGTAAAAAGAAAAAATCATAATCCCTTTTGCAGTGAGTGGAAGCCTAAAGAAAGAAAAAGATAATGAGTCCACAAATCTGTGATCTTGCTTTTGTTGTCAAGTGCATTTTTGCTTCAACATCTTCAGCTTAAAATTGACTTAAGAGTTTTCCCAGGTTACAGTCTGAGCACAAGCAGCAATGAGAAAGAATTAGATAACGAATCATTTCAGAATTTCACAGTGTGATGGATAATTAAGTGTAGGCAGTGAAAAGCGTCATGCCTTACTGTCAGCCTCTGTGGTGCCCCTCTGCTGCAAAAAAAATACAGGATCCTATCAGGAAAATTCACCCAGTGCCATGTGAAGGCTGCAAAACTCTTATTTCTAAATGCACAAGTTCATACAGCAATGAACTCAATATTTGTGCTAGTTACTTTAGAAGTAACTTGCGTTATCTCTACAGCAGACACTACAGCCTTTGACATTATTTAAGCACATCTTTTAGGCACAGAATGATGCACAAAAGTTCCCTGCAGACTTACCCTAGTTTCTGATCCTTAGTTAAGTTAGTTGTGCTTGTGTTTTCATTGCTACTGCCATCATTCGAGATAAATGTAAGCCAGAATAAACACCTTCCTACGGCAAATCTCACACTTTGTTTTCCATATAGGCCTGTGCTTGACAATAATAAGGGCTAACAGATAATAATAAACGACTAATTTCAACCTTGTTCTTAAATGCACTCATACTGCTGAAAGACAAGACAAAACATTGACTGATGAATTGGACCACCATCTTATAAAGGATGCATGTTATATAGAACCACAGTGAACCGATAGTCTGCTGAAGAGGTTGTCTGAAAAGAAAAGCAGTTCTTGTTCCTGGAGTACAAACGACAGAAGAGGACTTCTGCAGAAGGCTGCATCAAAGTTCATTTTCTGAGATCTTACTCAATGCCTGAGCTTATTCATTTCTGTTATTCAGCAAGCTCTACTGCTTGCTTTGTATTTATATACTTTATATTAGCTGAATGACCATTCTGTGTTATCTTCTTTTAGGATGGTAAGCAAACCCAAGGCAAAAAGGTTACTTAGTCTTGGAAAATGCCACCGAGACTACACTCTCAATGTACAGCAATGGAATCAGTAGGAAAGTTTGAATTGATTGCTATTTTATACCTGAAAAACATGTAGAGCTAGTAGTTTTCTACAACGATCATAGCGAAGAAGTCTGTACATCATTCCAGGAAATGGCTGAAGCATGTCAGTTGCTAGTAAAATCCCATCAGTGTGAACAGTTTGATTAATAACAGAACAAGGCAATCTATGCATATCATAACAAGAACTTCTCCCTTTGAAACAGTTTCCATTCATTTCGTCTCTCTGCTCATCACAATCACACGCAGACTCTTCCTTCATGGCTATGCTACTACACAAGCAATAAAACTTAATTTTCTTTAGTTTTCACATCAGTGGAAAAAATTCCGACATCAGAAAACCAAGAAGTAACTGCCTGCTTTATATTTAGGTACCAATGGTTTTAGAGTTACTGAATTCAAGTTCAGTTTTTACAGGCTCTTTTCATTGTGAAAACCAGCATATAAGAAATCAGTGACATCAGAAATTTACCTAATGTGAAGATGAAAAAAATAATCTTTCTTCTTTCATGGGCTGCAGAGAAAAACGTTTTGATACACATCAGGTTTAGCTAGCTTGGTTTTTCTTACTTTATATTTCTATGTATGAATATGCAGTAGAAGTATGGTTTCTATGGTTCCGTGCTTATGAGAAACATTTACTGAAATACAGCTGAACTTTTTTTAAAAAAATCAAATATTGTATGTACATAGTACTGAAAGTGATGTAAGTAGCAGCAGCTCTCAGCTAGTGTGGGGCTACATTCTGGAAGCCAAAGCACTCATAAAAACTCATGCTGTAGAGGGAAATGGTTTGTCTGGAACATAGCTGCCAATGAAGCCCATAACCAGAAGGGAGAATGCTTAGTAAGCTGGGCAGGAAAAGATGTCTTGCTGTATAAAACTCTTAAATTTCCACAGGGCTTCTGTTCAACAGTAAAACAAAAATGGAGCTTTCAGAGATTCTCAGATGAAGGAATGTGATGGAACAGTGGATGGAACAGTAGAGTTCAGGCACTAAGGAACTTGCATGCAAAGGTGGAGAAATAACATCCCTCCAATCCAAACTAGGCAGAATATATTCTGATGTTTCCGACTGCCACATCACTTCATTCTTATGGGATGCACACTTTTATATCTTCCTCTGGTTTTGACTAGAAATTTCATTGTGGAGCTTTTCTTATAATGGAGAAAACAGGAAATAAGTGCTTAAGTAGTCTGTTTTCTACTGGACATATGTACTTTCTGGCTCATCACAGTCTAAGAAAAGGGCACCTAAAATGATTCCCTGTGTTAGTATACAAGTAACTTCCGCCCCCCCCCCCCCCCCATCACGATCTCCAGCTGTAACCTCTCTGATCTCTAACCGAATAGAAGCAACCACCCACACATACAATAGTTACCAGCCTGCAACGTTTCATAACCTCTACAGCTTAATACTCAAGAAAATTTCACATGGAACTATCGAAATAGTCCTCAGAACTAAAGGAGACCTAAGATATCTAGGAAGTCCACCTTTACATGCTATCAGTAATCTATATGTGCTATCAGAAACTTCAATGTGCATGAAATATGTGACGTGGACTCACAGACTGCTGCCTGCATATTTAAAAGTTTGGGAGTCACAAATAATATCACTGTTCTAATTCAGTAGATTTACGTCTGCTGCTCCTTCGATTTTCCCAGTAATTCTGAAATCAGATCAGAAGGAGAACAAAAGCACATGAATCAACTCCCAGAGAAGCAATAAAAAGACTGCAGAAACCTCAGTAGAAGCTGAAACGGAGCCAGAAAGATCCATCTTGGTCTCAGCATTCTGTATTTTGTAAAACTCTGTGCTGTCACAGGGAAAGGTGTGCTTGAGCATGGATTTTAATGGTAAAGCTGCTTGTACAAAAATTAATGGGAACACACTGGGCTAGCACAAGAATGATTCTCACATCGAATGGGTACTTCTCATAATTCATAGAGAAAACTTTCCAGAAAGCCTGCCCTGAATCTTCCTAACTATAGCTTATATAGTTCTTATAGAAAAATGCAATAATTTTTCCCTTCTATCTCAACCTGTTGATACTGTCTGACATATTTTGGGTGAGCAGGAATATTTTTAATAAAAAAAAATGGTATTGAAAGTCAAAGATACAAATTATTTCAAACTTTCCAGGTGACAATATGAGGCTGAATCCAACATAAAGAAGTCTACTTATGCGCCTGCCTAGGGAGCTGCATGTCCAATAGGACACCTGGCTTTACAAGTAGCACCGTGTGCTTCTGAATCCAGACAAAATGTGTCACTTTAATTAGCTTTAAAGGTGGTCTCTGCCAGTGGGCTTGGAGTGCTTTTCTTTTATGTAAGGACATCTCAAATGTGACAGCCCCCTGCGGATAAATTCATGAACCTGAAGGACCAAAAAAAAAAAAAAAAAAAAAATCAAAACCATTTTAAACAATCTGAATCTCTACAAAAGTGTTACATAAAACGCTGAACTTGAAACATCACACAAGACGTGGCAAGCTAAATTAGATTAGAAGATGGCAAAAATACTTAATGAGTTGCCCAGCTCCATTTGCACAAGTTTTTATCCAAGAGAATAGGAAAACGTCATGAAATGTCTTCTGGATTGTTAAGTGAAGGTTGATGGAAGACAGGAAACAGAACTGAGATCTCTCTGCTCCAGCTCTTCATGGACTTCCTGTGCTACCTCAGGCAAGCCCACTTAACCTTGCATGCCTCTTTTCCTCCAAAAAAATCCTTAGTCTAGAAGGGCATGCCCTTCCCTGGGCACTGGTAAATAGAGGGTATTCGTATCAGAAGAACTGTAAAGCCATTTTAGTTTACATAACACAGGGTATAGCTTCCTATAATGCAGTCTATACCTGAACTGCTACAGCAAGATGCTCCTCAGAGAGCAAAGGAAAAGTCAGCAAAATGGACAGAGTCACTTTATCACAGACTTGCTGTTTCATTATGTAAGCCTGCCTTCATACCTTCCACATTCTCTATGTTCTTCAGCT